CGTGGCCTGACCACCGTGCCCGTCAAGTTCTACCTGTACACCTCCTCCAACCCCACCAAGGGCAAGAAGATCACCGCCACCAAGAAGTCCGTTGATGCCTCCAAGTTCAACGCCGCCCACCCCACCCGTTTCGTCATCCACGGCTGGACCCAGAGCTACACCGCTGGCATGAACAAGAACATCCGCGCCGCCTGGCTGGGACAGGGAGACTACAACGTCATCGTCGTGGACTGGGCTCGTGCACGTTCCGTGGACTACGCCACCTCCGTGATGGCTGTCGCTGCCACTGGCAAGAAGGTCGCCAAGATGATCAACTTCCTGCGCTCCAACTACGGCATGTCTATGGATGACCTCTACGTCATTGGCCACAGCCTGGGCGCCCACGTCGCCGGCTATGCTGGCAAGAACACCGACGAGAAGGTGCACACCATCATCGGTCTGGACCCTGCACTGCCCCTCTTCAACTACAAGAAGCCCAACAAGCGTTTGAACAGCGAAGATGCTCACTATGTGGAGTCCATCCAGACCAACGGTGGCACCCTCGGCTTCCTGAAGCCCATCGGCAAGGGAGCTTTCTACCCCAACGGAGGCAAGACCCAGCCCGGCTGCCCCCTGGACGTTACTGGCGCCTGCTCCCACGGCCGGTCCACCACCTACTACGCCGAGGCCGTCAGCCAGGACAACTTCGGAACCATCAAGTGCCACGACTACGAGGCAGCTGTGTCCAAGGAGTGCGGCAGCACCTACAGCAACGTCCGCATGGGAGCCGACACCAATGCCTACATGGTTTCCGGGGACTTCTATGTGCCCGTGAACAGCAAGGCCCCCTTCGGCATGATTCACTGAACGAACCCCAACCACGAATAAAACCTAAATTCAATCCAACTGAAAATTGTTTCTCAAATATCACTCGGGGCCAGTAGGGGCAGGAATTGCCTTGACAATTCTTCAATGAACTTCCCTATCAGGCCAATCAAGTCATAAACCTTAATGTCGTCCAAAGACCTATCAAGATAAGCCATAAATTGCGCTGAATTTGCTAATAAACAAGTCCTCGTCGTCATTAGTTTATGGCCATTTATGATTGCACTCTGCCACTTCACGTGGATTTCCTAGCTGATTTATCACTTAATGTACAGCAAATGTTCAATTGACTGGCGATTATTGTAGTGAGGTTTTACTGTTTTTGAGGGATTATCTATCAAAAGGATTTCCTAGGCATTCAAGAAAGAAAATTTGTTATGAATTCGACCAATGACTTTGGGATTATCTCGTTTGTTATGAAAGCATATTTGCAATGTAAATACATACATACAAATTATTTTCATGTCCACAATTATTATGCACAAAACAGAAGACTATTTGGAAGGGCTGACAGGCCGAACTTATCGTTCAGCAAAGCTTAAACAGAGAGCCAGCGAGAGCAGCGCTGCTGCTAAGCGTGCACGAACGTGCATGCACGAATAAGGTGGGATGAATAGACGAAAGAACGGCCGCTGCCGCTGCCGCTGTCGCGCGCAAGCTTGTGTACGCATGCTGCACAGCTTCTAGCTGTACAGTTATATTTCAATTTCGCTATTCCCTTTTCAGCGCATCAGGCAAACCTATCGCGGTGCTTCTTTTAGGTCGCTGCTGTGGCCTACCTGCTCCCAGAGCTATCCCTCTCTGTCATTCCTACGCCAGGGTACGTTACACAAAAGCTACACACAAAAGTGCAAAGAAGCAAAGCGTACCGTGGTTCAAGAGACAATGATTATGGGAATACCATATACAGTTCGTTTTTAGTTAAATTTAAAACTCAATATGCGGAGTACATACATACATATAATTCTTTGCAACAATAATAATTATATCATTATAAGGTATGGATTTTATGACTAAATATTGGGCAAATTATTTCATTAAAAGTCAAGTCATGGGATCGATGGATCTGCGTAAGTTGTACAATTGAAGCCAAAATTCCTTTCTTATCCCACTTGCCATGGGTCTTCCCATTCAAGTGCGGGATATTCCTAAATATAAATTATTCTTATCTACCTCGCCGCGCATATGACGGAGCTGTTATCAATGCTAATTTGAATCCGCGTAGGCCCACAATCAGATTGTTGGATCAAAAATAGCTCTAAAGTGTTTACTTGCACTAAAATCCGATAACTAGGGGGTCTATATAAGACTGAGAATGGCCACTGGACAGCACAATTGGTCAAGACCCCAATATGAAACTGTTATTTGTTCTAGCAGCCTTGGTGGCAGCAGGTGAGTTCTCCTCAAATATTAACCTGAAAGTAATTTCCCACAAATAAAAACATTTTGCAGTGAGTGCCCTTCCCGTTGACGATCGTGTCAATGGCGAGAATGGCTGGTTCATCCCCAAGCTCGATGGCAACTTCGAGTGGATGGATATGGCCGATGCCGAGGAGCTGCTCTCTGGCGACGATCAAATGGAGGGTCGCATCAGCACCAACGCAGTCAACTTCTACCTCTACACCAAGTCTAACCCCACCTCTAGGCAGGAAATCAAGTCAGATGCATCCTCCATCAGTGGATCCCACTTCAACAGGAACCATGGCACCCGTTTCGTCATCCACGGCTGGACCCAAAGTGCCCAGGACGACATGAACACCCGCATCACCAAAGCCTGGCTGTCCCGCGGCGACTACAACGTGATTGTTGTGGACTGGGCTCGTGCCCGTTCCGTTGACTACGCTTCCTCCGTGCTGGCTGTTCCTGGTGCCGGTGCTAAGGTCGGAGACATGATCAGGTACCTGAACGAACAGCACGGCATGTCTCTGGACAGTCTGGAGGTCATTGGCCACAGTTTGGGAGCCCATGTCGCTGGCTATGCCGGAAAAACTGTTGGCAGCGGTCGCATCCATGCCATTGTCGGTCTGGACCCCGCCCTGCCCCTCTTCAGCTACGACTCGCCCAACAAGCGTTTGAACAGCAACGATGCCTGGTACGTGGAGTCCATCCAGACCAACGGCGGCACCCTCGGCTTCCTGAAGCCCATCGGCAAAGGTGCCTTCTACCCCAACGGCGGCAAGACTCAGCCCGGCTGCGGTCTTGATCTGACCGGCTCCTGCTCCCACGGCCGTTCCGTCACCTATTACGCTGAGGCCGTCACCCAGGACAACTTTGGATCCATCAAGTGCGGCAACTACGAGGCAGCCGTCAACAACCAGTGCGGCAGCACCTACAGCAGCGTCCGCATGGGTGGCGTCACCAATGCCTACATGGTATCCGGTGACTACTACGTTCCCGTCAACAGTGCAGCTCCATTCGGCAAGGTGAATTGAACCCTATGATCCCCCTCCTATTCCAGCAATAAATTAATAAAAAGTTATAAACAAAAGTATCTAGTTTTTGGCAAATATTTTATCTCGAAAGAGATTTTTGGTTGGGTTATTTTCTCGTAAAAGCAGATCACAGATCTCTTGATGATTTAAATTAAAATAATTATATAAAAGCTGTCCGTAAACAAAGATGTTCTCACCTCAATCAACCCTTCAGCTATTATGATATGAACAAAGAACTAATCAGGGTACTCCACTACTGTTATTATTTTCCCAAAATAATTCAACAATCCATTGATAAATAATGAAATCAAATTTGAATGGTTTTATCATATATGTAGATCTTTTAAGTCCTACGTGTGCTGTACAATCGCAGAGTATTCAAAACGAACGATAATTATGGCCCCATAAGAGTGTTAACGAGAAGGGACGTGTGAGACGCTTCTTACGCGTCACAACGCTTATACCCGGCACTCAGTTAATCGTATTTTCCAATTTATGAGATATTTTAAACAGCAATAAAATAGGTACTTTTTCCCTGCACATTCTGGTTACGCAACTTTGATGGTAACTCTTTTTCTAATACAGAGCGTTAAAACCCGAGTCTTGGTTTTAACTTTTAAAAATTAGCTTTTGGCCACTGTTTCCGCAACTCCTCGCAGCCAGTTCGGAATCAAAATCTCGAAATAAAAAGCCAAGTGCTGCTGGTTCGACCGATTCGGAATTCAAATCAATTTAATCTCTTCTTCTTTTCAATTTCGATATTCACCAATTAAATGCATGTTCTTTCTCTTTCTCTATCGTATTCACATATCACATGTATGTTCTATAGCAACAAGCTTCCGTCAGTATGTCGTAAGTGCAACAATTCCATAGCTTAATGCTACAAATTCATTTTACTAATACAAAATACTAATTGCTTCGGTCCATAATTTGGCTAATTGGCGTAAACAGCAACCAAAACTGGTCATTGGGACAATAGTGCATCTGCACCTCGGCGGTGTTTTGTCAAATTTGAAATAGGCAGGGGCCGAGTGAAGCAGAAGCAGAGTGTGAATGAGAGAATGTAAAAGGAACAATAAAAGCTGCTGGACAGGGTGGGCTAAACCCACAGCAAATTAATTTATTTATTCTGGCTATAATAGTGATCTGATCGGATGCAGATCTGATAGATATGGCCATTCCCTACGGAATGGGGTTTTTAGTTTTCTTTTATCTTCAAAATTGTAGATTTGGTAGGTTTTCGCCCTTTTGCGGGGGCGGAAGGGGGCGTGGCTCATTTTTGAAATACACTGGTTTCAGTGTGAGCATATAGCAGTCTGTATGCAAACTTTGGTGGCTCTAGCTCTTATAGTCTCTGAGAACTAGCCGACAAACAAGACGGACAGACGGACAAACAGACATACATGAATTTATATACTTTATGGGGTCGGAAACGCTTCCTTCTGTGCGTTACATACAATCGTCATTCCCCACAAATACTATATACCCTATTTACTCTTCGAGTACCGGGTATAAAAACCCAAATGTCCCATACTGTTTTGATTTCCTCGCTTATCAGCTACCGAGCTAAGGACATGTACGGTTATCAATACTGTTTTTAATCCAGCTAAAGCCACTATCTGATTGCTGTACAAAAGAGAGTTCTTGAGTGGTTACTTGTATTAAAGGGCGATTAGTTGGGGGCCTATAAAAGGCAGGGAATGGCTTCTGAACACCACAATTGGTTAAGACTCCAATATGAAAGTGTTCTTTGTTCTAGCAGCCTTGTTGGCAGCAGGTGAGTTCCCTTCAAATACTAAACTGAAAGAACTATTTGGCTAATAAAGATATTTTCTCAGTTACTGCCCTGCCCGTTGAGGAGCGCATCAATGGCGAGAATGGCTGGTTCATCCCCAAGGTTGATGGCAGCTTCGAGTGGATGGAGCTGAAGGATGCCGAGGAGCTGCTTTCCCGCGGCGAGCAAATGGAGGGCCGCATCAGCACCAACGCTGTCAAGTTCTACCTCTACACCAGGTCCAACCCCACTGATGGCAAGGAAATCAAGTCCACGGCATCGTCTATCGACGGATCCCACTTCAACAGGGACCATGGCACCCGTTTCGTCATCCACGGCTGGACCCAAAGTGCCCAGGACGACATGAACACCCGCATCACCAAGGCCTGGCTGTCCCGCGGCGACTACAATGTGATTGTTGTGGACTGGGCCCGTGCCCGTTCCGTTGACTACGCTTCCTCCGTGATGGCTGTTTCCGGAGCAGGCAAAAAGGTCGGAGAGATGATCAAGTACCTGAACGAGCATCACGGCATGTCTCTGGACAGTTTGGAGGTCATTGGCCACAGTCTGGGAGCTCAGGTTTCTGGTTATGCTGGCAAGACTGTTGGCAAGGGACGCATTCATTCTATTGTCGGTCTGGACCCTGCCCTGCCCCTCTTCAGCTACAACAAGCCCGACAAGCGTCTCTCCAGCGATGATGCTCACTATGTGGAGTCCATCCAGACCAACGGCGGCAAACTGGGATTCCTCAAGCCCATCGGCAAGGGCGCCTTCTACCCCAATGGTGGCAAGAAGCAGCCAGGATGTGGTGTGGACGTTACTGGCTCTTGTTCCCACGGTCGCTCCGTTCTGTATTACGCTGAGGCCGTCACCCAGGACAACTTCGGAACCATCAAGTGCCACGACTACGAGGCAGCTGTGTCCAAGGAGTGCGGCAGCACCTACAGCAGCGTCCGCATGGGTGCCGTGACCAATGCCTACATGGTCGATGGTGACTTCTATGTGCCCGTGAACAGCAAGGCTCCATTCGGCAAAATCGAATAGAGATCTGTGCCTTCTCGCAACAACAGCAACTAGAGCTAAGCTCCATTCGGTGAGACCGAATAGAGAACTCTGCTCAACCAACCCAATAAATTGTTGAAATATTTTAGATCGCTGCATTTTCACTTTTGCATTTCTGAAAATTTATTCCCAAAAGGTTGAACCTCCAACCCAGCCACTTCTTTTATTAATATACAATTATAATTATTAATATACTCCAGTCTTTCGAATTAAACAATACCTTTTTGAATAGATTGAAACGTAAGCATAATAGAACCCGATGAAATCTTATTACATTTGCGTTCCATTCCATCTTCCTGTTCAATGAAATAGTAGTGAAGTCAGGAGGAATAATGGAATTGAAAACAAAGTTGAATGTGCTCTTACAATTGTAATTAACTATTTTAACGAGTAGAAGAACCCTAAAAATGTACCTTTTATGCGAAAAACGTATCTTTTAGAGGTTGCTCGAAGATGGTCGAAGGCAAGGTCAAGGTCTTCAATATCCTCAAAAATGATGAACACAATTTATATCGTTCTGTAAGTGCTATGACAGTTAGTATACGACTGACTTGACATTATTTAATTGCAAGAAGTGCCAGAAAGCAACGCGATTGGCTCTCAGCTAAAGTTTGCAAGATCGCATGTGGCTGAGCTGTGTCACAGTGACAACAAAATACCTTTGGCTGATGAGTGTAAAGTTGTATAATATGATAAGAAATAGCAAAAAGACATCAGATTAGTGTTCAAGTTCTTTGAAAACAAAACGGTATTGGGCATGTTGGGCTGATCCTTATGAGCTCCAGTCCATACGAAGTGGTGCTTCCTAGCCTCCTAGTTGCCGCATTTTACAAAACTGTGTGGGCCAGCATGCTTTTTCATACATAACATTCATATTCCAGTTGAAAAAAACCTTTGAAAAGGATCTTTCAACAGGATAATGATCAGAAATACTCTGAAAAGATCGGCGTTTTTCGATGTTCAAATCTGAAAGTAATCGACATTTTATAGCGGAATGCCAAATGCATTGTAATAAATGCAATTCCGGCAACCAGAGCAAGCAAAAATGATTGGCTAAAAGCCTATTGAAGCAAGGAAGTAATTAAAGTAATTACAATTTTCTTTCAATTAGTTTTTACCTGGGGACCCCTGAACCCCACCACGTCATATTTTTCAAAGTTCCAAGTAAAAACAAATAGTTTTCAGCAAAGCTGGGGAAATGAGTTGCTATCAAGTGGAGTTCTAATCTTAGTATCTGCCCATTATCTGATCGCTTCAGAAATAAGATTTCTCAAGTGTTTTCCGCTTGGACTCGTTCGATGATTAAAAAGCGATTAGCTTGCACCTATAAAATGACGGAGTGCACCACCTCTCTATACCACAATTTGGTCTAATTCCAGAATGAAAGTGTTACTTGTTCTAGGAGCCTTACTGGCAGCAGGTGGGTGCCATAAATGAATAACCATAGAAGTTGCCTTAATGTGGCATTTTCTTCCAGCGAGTGCCCTGCCCATTGAGGAGCGCATCAATGGCGAGAACGGCTGGTACGTTCCCCAGGTTGATGGCAGCTTCAAGTGGATGGAGCTGAAGGATGTCGAGGAGCTGCTTTCCCGAGGCGAGCAAATGGAGGGCCGCGCCAGGAATGGCGTCCGTTTCTATCTCTACACCAGATCCAACCCCACTGATGGCAAGGAAATCGAGGCTGAGGCCTCCTCCGTTCACGATTCCCACTTCAACAAGGACCACGGCACCCGCTTTGTCATCCATGGATGGAATGGACGCTACACCGACGACATGAACACCCTCATCACCAAGTCCTGGCTGTCGAAGGGCGATTACAACGTGATTGCCGTGAACTGGGACCGTGCACAATCCATTGACTACGCTTCCTCTGTGCTGGCTGTTCCTGCTTCAGGTGAAAAGGTCGGAGAGATGATCAATTATCTGCATGAGCATCACGGCATGTCTCTGGACAGCCTGGAGGTTATTGGACACAGCCTGGGAGCCCATGTTGCTGGCTATGCCGGCAAGAAAGTTGGCGGCGGTCGCATCCACACGATTGTGGGTCTTGACCCTGCTCTGCCTTTGTTCAGCTACAATAAGCCCGACAAACGTCTCTCCCGAGATGATGCCTTCTATGTGGAGTCCATCCAGACCAACGGCGGCAAACTGGGATTCCTCAAGCCCATCGGCAAGGGCACCTTCTACCCCAATGGTGGCAAGAAGCAGCCAGGATGTGGTGTGGATGTGACTGGCTCCTGCTCTCATGGCCGTTCTGTTCTGTATTACGCTGAGGCTGTCACCGAGGACAACTTCGGAACCATCAAGTGCCACGACTACGAGGCAGCTGTGTCCAAGGAGTGCGGCAGCACCTACAGCAGCGTCCGCATGGGTGCCGTGTACAACGCCTACATGGTTGAGGGTGACTTCTATGTGCCCGTGAACAGCAAGGAGCCTTTCGGCAAGATTGAGTAGGAATTCGCACACTCATTGAGTGAATAAAATGGAACAAAGAAACGAACTTGAAGAGTGTCCATGTGTGTACCATCAGTATCTGCATCTAGATACGTGGCTGTGGGGGTTCTAATCAACGTATTTTGCGTACGTCAGAGATTGAGCACAGGGGGGACGAGCCTCACAATCCAACAGTCCACACACTCTAGGAAATTTGGCTCAATGTGGGGAGAGTGTTTGCCGTTTTGAGTTGAAATTGTCCTATTGAGAGTTCCGATCATAAGGACGCAAATAAAAGCCAAGTGGAGACGTGTGCCCTGTGCAAATCTATTTTTCTCTACTTATAAGATTCGATTATGGGCAGGTATTTAATAATGATTTCACAACTAGTAGCCTGACTGATTGATAAGACGTTTGATTGACCGCAAGTGGAAGTGGCGTCATTTGTAACCGAAAGCCTGAAGCGTATCAGGAACGTGAAATACACGAGGCAGAAATAAAACCCTTCACATCGAATCGATCTAGATGGACATTCTACTTAGTGCAAATTGCCAAAAACACATGTTCCCACTCTTCAGGTTCCCCCGTCCAACGAGCGAGCGATCGTTCGAGTCCCTTATCGGTTGGGTGGGTCTATAATGGCGTGAGTGGCCATAGACCATCATCCAGTGTCCGTATCTCGAGTGTCCGCGCTTCAAAGTGTCTGAGATTCAATCTGGCGATACGATTCTGATCCATATAAAGGGAACGCCTGTGTGGCCGCAACTCGTCAGTTGAACCTTTCGTTGCCATGATCATGAAACTGCTTTTGGCTTTGGCTTTCTGCCTTCTGGCAGGTTAGTTAAATCTCTACAAGATCCAAGAACCAATCCAATAAATAAACTGATATTCCCCCCGCCATAGTTAACGCTGTTGAGGTGCGCGAGAATGGAGAGAATGGCTGGTATGTGCCACAGGCTGATGGCACCATGGAGTGGATGGACAGGGATGTGGCCGAGGCCTTCCTGGAGGCTCATGCCGAGAAGGAGGCACGCAACATGCTCAACCCGGTGACCTTCTACCTGTACACCCAATCGAACCGCGGCTGGGCCCAGGAGATCAAGGCCTCCTCGTCGGTGATCTCTTCGTCCTACTTCAACCCGAACAACCCCACACGCTTCACCATCCACGGCTGGTCCTCCAGCGCCGATGAGTTCATCAACTACGGCGTCCGCGATGCCTGGTTCACCCACGGAGACATGAACATGATTGCCGTCGACTGGGGGCGTGCCCGTTCCGTCGATTATGCCTCCTCCGTGCTGGCTGTGCCCGGCGTCGGTGAGCAGGTGGCGAAACTGATCAACTTCATGCGCGACAATCATGGCCTGAACCTCGGCAACACGATGGTCATTGGCCACAGCCTGGGCGCCCATGTGTCCGGCTATGCCGGCAAGAACGTGAGGAACGGACAGCTGCACACCATCATCGGTCTGGACCCGGCCCTGCCCCTCTTCAGCTACGACTCGCCCAACAAGCGTTTGAACAGCAACGATGCCTGGTACGTGGAGTCCATCCAGACCAACGGCGGCCAGCTGGGATTCCTGAAGCCCATCGGCAAGGGCGCCTTCTACCCCAATGGCGGCAAGTCGCAGCCCGGCTGCGGCCTGGACATCACCGGCTCCTGCGCCCACAGCCGCTCCGTGATCTACTACGCTGAGGCTGTCTCCCGGGACAACTTCCCCACCATGCGTTGCGGCAACTACGAGTCGGCAGTGTCCAGCAGCTGCGGCAGCTCCTACAGCTCCGTGAGGATGGGCGCCACGACCAATGCCTACATGGTGTCCGGCGACTATTATGTTCCCGTGCGCAGCGATGCTCCCTATGGCATGGGCAACTAACTCGATTTGCAATCAACCAATAAACTAAGCAAAAGCTCAACCCAAAAGCTCTCGCACTCTCTCTCTCTCTCTCTCTCTCTCGCTCGAACATTCAAGGCGCAAGCGGTACTCGCTGCTCGCTCCACTCACACTCTCTCTCTCTCTCTCTCTCTTTCGCTCGCTTCACGAAAGCTCTGTGGCGGCTGGGTAGAGCTTTTCTGCAAGGGGATCTAAATCTTAGCGATTAGGAACGATCTAATCGCGGTGTTGCTGTTGTTGCCCTGATTTCGATTCCGGATCGATTTTGGGCAGACGAAAGGTATAAATACCGGCGACAGGTGGGGCTACCGAACCATTTAAATTTTCCATGCGAACGATGAGATTGTGTTTTCTTTTGCTGGTCTGCGTGATAGCAGGTGAGACTTTGCACTGCAGCCGCGGCATCCGTGGTACAATTCAATGACAAATCAAATTTTCTGCAGTGAATGCCTGGCCCATTGAGGATCTGTCGCGGCGCGTGAGCGGCGGCAATGGCTGGTATGTGCCCCAGACGGACGGCTCCCTGCGCTGGGTGGGCAGATTGGAGGGCGAACGAGAGTTGGCTCACTACGAGGCACAGGAGGCGATCATGGGTCGCCTGTCCACGAACACGGTCAACTTTTATCTGTACACGCTGAGGAATACCAACACGGGGCAGCAGATCAAGGCGACTCGTGCCTCCATTGATGCCTCCAACTTTAATCCCGAGAATCCCACGAGGTAAGCTCCTACTCTGGATCCTTAGTGAGAGTCACAGAATCACAAACGGAGCCTTTGCAGGATCACCATTCACGGCTGGAATGCCAACTACAAGGATGGTGTCAACAGGAAAATTGCCTCCGCCTGGTTCCAGAAGGGAGACTACAACATGATTGCCGTCGATTGGGTGCGTGGCCGCTCCGCGGAGTACGTCTCTTCCGTTTCCGCTGCCCCTGGTGCTGGCAAGAAGATCGCTGCGCTGATCGATTTCCTGGTGGGGGAATACGGCATGTCCCTGGACACCCTCGAGGTGGTGGGCTTCAGTCTGGGCGCCCACGTTGCCGGACACACTGCCAAGCAGGTCAAGTCCGGAGATGTCGGCAAGGTTGTGGGTCTGGATCCTGCCATGCCGCTGATCAGCTACAGCAACACCGCCAAGCGTCTGTCCAGCGATGATGCCAAATATGTGGAGTCCATCCACACAGCTGGCGGCACCATGGGCTTCACCAAGCCCATTGGCAAGGCTGCCTTCTACGTGAACGGTGGCAAGTCGCAGCCGGGCTGCGGCCTCGACATTGCCGGAAGTTGCGCCCACACCCGCGCCGTCACCTACTACGTCGAGGCTCTGCTGTGGAACAACTTCCCCACCAAGCGTTGCGACTCCTACAAGGCGGCCAACAAGAATGCCTGCGGCGACAAGTACAGCTCCGTGCTGATGGGCGCCACAGTGAACATATTCATGGCCGAGGGCATCTTCTATGTGCCCGTGAACAAGCAGTCGCCCTTCGGTCTGTTAGAGCCGTTGGAGGAGTCGACAACTGTGGCACCTGCCAAGCCCACAACTGTGGCTGATGATTCCACAACTGCTGAGGATTCCACAGCCGCCGAAGATTCGAGCACTGTTACTTCTGCAGAAGATTCCACCACCGCAGCCCCAGAGGAAGGAGAAGATGACTCTTCCACCGCTGCCCCTGAAGATGATTCTACCACTGACGGTTCAGGGGATTCTACAACCGCTGCCCCAGAAGACGACTCCACCACTTCTGCACCAGAAGAGGGAGGAGATGACTCCACCACCGCTGCAGCCGAAGATGATTCCACCACTGCAGCACCAGAGGAAGATTCCACCACGGCAGCACCAGAGGAAGATTCCAGCACTGCTGTCACAGAGGATGGAGAAGGTAATGATTCTAGCACAGCTGCACCTGAAGATGACTCCACAAATGAGGCTTCAGAAGATGATTCAACCACTGCTGTCACAGAGGAAGATTCTACCACCGAAGCCCCAGAGGAAGATTCCACTACTTCTGCACCCGAGGAAGATTCTACCACTGAAGCTTCAGAGGAAGATTCTACCACAGCTGCACCTGAAGATGACACCACCAACGCTGCTCCTGAAGAAGATTCCACTACTTCTGCACCCGAGGAAGATTCTACCACAGCTGTCACAGAAGACGGAGAAGAGGACTCTACGACTGCTGTCACAGAGGAAGATTCCACCACTGAAGCCCCTGAGGAAGATTCTACTACATCTGCCCCAGAGGTAGATTCCACCACAGCTGAACCCGAAGAAGATTCCACCAGTGACGGCTCAGAGGAAGATTCCACCACAGCTGAACCCGAAGAAGATTCCACCACCGCTGTCACAGAGGATGGTGAAGATGCTTCAACCACCGAAGCTCCTGTCACAGAAGATCCGACAACAACGACAGCCGAAGACATCAACACACCGATAACCGATACCCCTGGAGAGCGTCCCTCAACCGATGGCCCCGCAGATAACGATAACGATGTCTCGGGCAAGACCAAGAACATTTACATTTTCAACTTGTTCCTGATAAACGTCAAAGTCAACCAAAAGTAAGACTAGACCGTTCCTAACCTAACCAAGTGAGCCCTGAACCGTGGGCGTGTTTCATTCAACAATAAATCCAAAAGCAACATGCCGAACATTTCCACATAAGCGCTTCAATTAATCTGAGTCCTAAGGTCCTTGCAGACACGCCCCTGAACTTAATGGATATTCAATTTGATTTTAATTACGAATCAAACATCTTTTGAAGTTGGCACTGGAACTACTCGAATTCCTTGTGCGTGGAAGTTGGCCTTGTTGGTGACGCACACACACCCAAGTTCCTTTGTGAGTCACATCTGATTGCTGCTACTGCTGCCACTTATCTGGTGGTGTAGCACTCGTACATTTCCCAGTACTTAAGGGCATAATCAGTTCAAGCAACCAGCTGATTAGGAGGCAGCAAAAGACATTTGCTTATCGCATTTTGGCCCAAAAGTCGCTGCTGCTGCTGGCCAATAACTTCTGCCAAAAGTGCCAGCCACCAAAATAGAACTAAGCATCAACTTCGCATTTAATTAGATTTATTGCAGCAGAACCAATTATCGGCGGGGAAGTCTGCAAATTGTGAGATAATTTATTGTGCATTAGGAGTCACTCCTCTTGCTCGGTGGCGCATATGTGTTGCTCGTCGATAACACAGCCCCTCAGTGTGGTCTCGAAATAACTGCCTGGGGCACAGGACTGTTCCACGAGCAGCCCCTCGAGGCATTCCACATAGCCAGCACAGTCCTGGGGATCAGCCGTGCGTCTGCCCGCAATGCATCTGCCCTTGGCACTGCATCGGCAGTTGCTAGGGCAAATGTTTCGATCATCGTTGAAGCATTCCAGCAATCCCGGATGGAAGTATTCTCCGCTGCCACAGGTCTGGGCCACAAACAGCCCATTGACACAGGCCAAGTATCCCCCACAGTTCTCGGCATCCTGCATCAGTTCTCCCTCGGTGCAGCCTTGCTTCTGGGGCACACAAACCTCATCCTCGTCGATGAGGCAGCCACTGGCTGTGGCATTGAAGTAGCTGCCAGGATCACACTTTAGTTGCACCAGCTCCTGGCCCACACACTGCTGGTAAGCGGCACAATCTTCGGGATCTGCTACCATCTCTCCCTCGTTACACTTTCGCACAGTTGGCAGACAAATGCCCTCCGAGTCGATCAAGCAAAGTTCTAATTTGGCATCAAAGTAGCTGCCGCTGGGGCACTGCTCTGCCACTAGCTCCCCATCGATGCACTTTAGGTATCCAGCGCAGTTGTTGGGATCCACCTCAAGGTCTCCCTCTGTGCACTTCTCGGGCGGTGCCACACAGATGCCATTCACATCGATAATACAGATTTTGAGGCTGGAGTTGAAGTAACTGCCACTGGCGCACGGCTGCTCCTCGAGCTCTCCATTGACGCACTTTAGGTATCCGGCACAGTCATTTGGATCGGCTTTGAGCTCTCCTTCCGTGCACTTCTCGGCAGACACGCAGATGCCATCCGCATCTACAACACACATGTTCCAGCTCACATCGAAATAGCTTCCGCTCTGACACTTTTCCTTCACGAGTATTCCATTCACGCACTGCAGGTAGCCCGCGCAGTCCTCAGGGTTCTCTTGGAGCTGCTCATCTGTGCACCGCGCTTGCAGGGGCAAACAGGAAACATTCCCATCCACGAGACAGTTTTTCGACGTCAGATTATAAAATCCGCCAGCGGCACACTTTTGCGGCACAAAGTCTCCACCGATGCACTGGAAATATCCGGCACAATCCGCGGGATCCACTGCCAGCTCCAGTTCGGTGCATTTTCTGGCTGCTGGCTTGCAGATGCCCTGGTCATCGATGACGCACACCTCATAGCTGGCCTCGAAGTAGGCTCCTTCGGGGCACTGCTGATGCCGGATGGCCGAATCGAGGCACTGATAATAGCTCGCACAGTCCTGGGGATCGGCTTCCACGGAGCCCTCCATGCACTTGCCGAGGTCCCTAACGATGGCAGGCAGCGATGGACTTGGCAGCAGACACACGAGTAGCAATGTCCAGAGTGCTAGCGATATCCTGGGCAATCCATCTCGTATCTCACCGTGGTAAAACATTCGCACTTGACTTTCACGCGACTTTCTCATATTTCTTAGCTCTAAAACTGAAACATCAAACAACGCAGAATGCGCTTTTATATGCCAGAACCATTACCATAATGGCTATTCCGAATGCAGTGTTTTCTGCCAGAGATAAGATCGAATGCTGAACGTTATCTGAACACCACTGGAATGGAAAAACTCAAGAGAACAATGCAACGGACAGCGGACAGATGACTCAGCGGACAGCGGACAGCGGATGACTCAACGGAAAGTCTTCTTACGCGAGGGAATTCTTGGGGCACATTCGAGAGTCAAAAGGGTTAGTCAAACGATTCTTTCACAACCCAAATCTGAAATGTTCAAGCCAATGAATGACAATGCTGAGGGGCTCCGAATTCAAGCTGCAGAGTGATTTGCATATATTTTCTTTGGGGCAAGTTTTCTCCCCACTTGTTCGAGCTTGTTTCTGCACATGGTCGACAAATTAACATCATAAAAGGACAGAGCGAAACCACACTCCCCGTGGGGCATTTGTTGCTTTTGTGCGAAGGTCGCACATGGCGGGCACATCATCTGTCAGTCGCCTTCCGGGCTCATTATTCACTTTTGCCGGGCGCCAAGACACGTCCTTAAAGCTTCTTTAAGCTCAAATGACCCGACACAATCCTTGTGAATCCCGTGCTCCCTCTCCTTCTGCGCTTAGTTAATTTATCAAAGCTCAACTCATTTGATTCGTTGCCATTTTCTAGGGTTTTTAGGTTTCACTTTTCGCTCGATTTGGTTCGATTGTTGTTGGGGGTCTCGAAAACCTTTGGAGAATTCCACAATGGCTGCGGTCAGGACCAACAAAGGGAACAGGCAAATATCACAAGCATCTGTGTGTGGCAGCAATAAATATTCCGTTTGTTGCTCAAAGGGAAATCGCTTGGGTTGCCCTTTTTTGGGGGGGTTGGTAGAAATTTTCAAACACGCTCGCTCGAACGTTTTCCCCAATGACCGAAGGAAAAACACAGAACTAATGTTTCCTGATGTCTCCACCTAATGATACTCGTCCTTGTCCGGAGCGCCTGGAAGTGTGTCAACTAACAATTGTCAGCGTCCTGGGAATACGTCCCTGCTACCTAGCTTCACTCGTGCAACTCTGCTACGGTGCAATTCTGCCACAGCAAAGGGCATGCCAATGAAGTGAAATGGAAACGCCATTCAAGGGTCGAGCTGTGTCCTCAGTTTTTGCACTTTAATGGACTCGGGGAGATGCCGTTGCTGGGCTCTAATGAAGCCGATGGAGTTGTATTTAACAGCTGAAATAATTCACAGAGTGTGGGGCAGTGTCAAGGCTCGCATGTCCTGCAAATTAAAGCGCGCTCAATGCGAAAATGCTCATAAAATGCCAAATTTAGCTGAATTAATTTTTGATTACATTTTATTGCCGGCTGGGCGCAGGACCCAAGCACATTTTTTCACATTTCCACATGCATGAGCACTTCTTCACTTCACTTCAGCTGAGTTGAGTTCTGGTTGCTTACAATCGAAAAGTGAAAAGTGAAATGTGAAATTCGAGGAAACACTAGAGGCTGCCAAACGGATGAGAAGTTTTCTATTACGGATATGTAATGCAAAGGACAAGAAGTCAAACAAAGAACCGGCAGCAGCCTAGCCGAAAGGCAACAAAATGTTGATGGATTTTCTCCCTTTGAATAATTTCTCATACTTCAATGGAGGCTGCCCAAAAAATATTACACATACGCACCATTAGCAGCGAGATGTTTTCATGCTTGTTGCATGAACACGCTTCTCTTCCGGTCTACATATTTATAAGAACATTTGCATATCATTGGCAGGCCCAGCTCCAAAGCCCAGCATAAATCTGCGCGCCTTGAGCTCGAGAAAATGAATAAATTCTGCAGCAAAAAAAAGACTTTTATCCATAAAAAAAAAACGCTGAATGACAGGAAACTTTTCGGCAAACAAAATGGCTAAGCAGAAGAGCAAACTTTAAGCCAAAGAATTCGAGCTAAAAGTGCATTTTGCAGTTTTTCAGTTATGTATATTTAGAAGATGTAAAGGAACAGCCAGCACCTGCCTCTCCCTGTGCCCATCTATCAAAGTCTTCTTCTCTCCCAAATCACATTTTATAAACACCGTCGGGTGGAAGATTTCTACCTCTAGTCAGTCAACTATTTGAAAGTTTTCTCTCCTGGCGTGTGTTTTCGTGTCTATTTTGTGTATAAACAAATTCAATTTGTTGTCATGTCGCTCCGCCTCTGGTTATCTTTGCCGCAGTGTTACACACTGTTCTTGGCAGCGTACACTAAGTGCTTTGAAGAACAGCGAATGGTGAATGGTGAATGGTGAGGAGCAACTCAGAAAATAACAACATAAGAAGAGAAAAAAACAAGCTGCTTATAATGTGTGTGTTGTGCGTGTGCGAAACTTATTTCTGTTTGCCATTGAATTTTGTTTAGTTTGCTCTTTTCAATGTGATTTCCAAAAATGTGGATAAATTGCCCAGCATCCGCCAGTCCGCGTCCCCATGCCCAGAAGTATTGGCTGTGGACACATATTTCCTCACCTCCTTTTGGGGCATCTTTTGGGCAAAGTTCTGGGTCAGGAATTTTAATACAGGCGTTGAGTTATTTGTGCAAAAAATAAATAACCAGAACCACATACGTGAGTGTATACACAAGACCATTTGAATGGCCATTTCAATTGTGATTCGATGAGTGCTGAATGGAAAGCAAAACTCATTTCCCCCAAAATTAATCGCCACGGAAATATGTACGCAAACAAACCCCGCTGATTTGATCCAATTTAGTAGAATGCAATTTGTGAACTAGTTTGGTATTCATATTACGAAACTAATTGGTTGAAAATGAAGTAAAACATTTAATTATGTTGTGCTGGCATTGTAGGCTGGGATATAAATATCTGAAACTAATATTCGTGAAGTTGGTAATGAGAAAAGAATATTAATTGAAATTTGTAAAGTTCATTGTGGAAACAATTTGGAAGTAAAGAAGGAATTCAAGTTGGAAAAAAGGTAATTCCTAAAGCCCTATTTTTACTTTCCAACTTTCCAAATCAAACAGAAATCCCCCACACACATTGAACCTTTCCAGAACCCTCTGACAACTTTTGCCCTTAACTTATAAATTCTGATGTTTCCATGAAAATTAATCTACAAATTCTCAATAAATTTCTTTCTATCCATAATAGGGATTTATTTGAAGCTTCAATTTTTCAACGAATTTTCCCAATTTCCGTCTGCCTGTTTCCTTTTTTAAATGTTTCTTGGCGCGCTTTTTCACAAGCGAAATTCACTTTTGCCGCGCATAAAACTATAAACTGAAGTACATAAAATGGGCGTGACAAGTGGGTGTGTATGGGGGGTGGGAATGGGTATGGGTATGGGTATGGGGAACGTGGAATCGTGTCAGAGACGAGCTGTCAAAAAAAGCAGCAAATCGGCACAAAAAAAAAGGAAGCTGAGCAATTGCGACTGTCTGACATTGAATTGATTATTATTTATGATGATGCTGGGGGAGAAATGAAGGGGAAATGTCATTGCTGTCGTTGGGTATACAAAAGTATTCCCATCAAAAGTGTTCACTGTGTCAATATTGATGTTGGCAGCTCAGTCTGTCGATCAGATCAGAGTATCTTCAAGCAAACAAACAAGCAGACATACAATACACATGTAAATGCCAGGGCAGCTGCACCATAAGTGTGGACTTTATAAAAATAAAGAAGACACAAACAGATAAACCGATGCAGACAGGCACATAAATCTCAGGCCGCCTCGACACGCGTTGGCATTAAAGCGACACATAAACCCAGCGAAAGTGTCAAAGCAGTAAACGGCACAGGGCAGAGAGCAAAGGACCAGCCTTAAATCGGGCCCAAACCAATTAAAGCTGTCGGTTCAAGGAACGGCCTCAGTCCCTTGGTGCGTCCCAAAAAAGCGGCAAAGAGATTCCACTGCAAAATTGATGATAAAATACACGTTCACCTGCAGCACACACACACACATGTGAGAGCAAAACGTTGAGGGGATTGCCGCTGCATAATTTATAATTAGGCTCCTCCACAGCGCCACCTTTTGTTGTACTCCCCCTGCCGGCTCTGTCAACGAGAGGCAAATGGATGGCTGGCGGACTTAGAGGACCGTCCTCGTACTCGTATCATGCAATATTTAGTTGCTCCGACTGGCGACAACGATGCGTATGCTTAATACAAACACACACACACACACTCGTGTCCATGAGCAGCTTAAAAGGAACAAACGGCTGATTGATGATACTTCCGGCTAAGGCCAAGGATAATGTAAAATTGTATTTCCCATTTGAGTGGAATAAAACGGAATAAGCAATCATAATGGACAGGCCAGGCTCAGAGTCCACAGAAGGGGGATTTGTCTTAAAGCCAATCAGCTTACTGGATGACAGGTGGACTCTAGCGCGCGGATGTGAGCCAAAATAGCATTCAATTAGGAGTAGTTCCGACTCTAATCGAGCTGTTGAAATGGGTCCAAAATTGTATTTGACAGCTGCAGCTACTGTAGGTGCCGCAGGGAAATCAATTCCGACACATCTTGAGGAACCTTCTCGGAGCTCTCAAATATTTATAGCAATAAGGCTGGTGGGTATGGACTTCCATTAAATGCTGGTCATGTGCCACTGAAAGTGAGACCCAAAAGCGAAGCTGAAGCTAATCCCACCCAGAACAGAGCAAATGCCAAGGAGAAATGTGCGAAATCTGACTGAATGCTAACAAGCAGAAACAACAGGGCGACAAGCCCCAAGACCCAAGCGGAGGACAAGCTGATTAGCAGGCAAATAAAGCTCATTACAACTCACCTGGTGGCTAGCTCTCCCTCCTGCTGCTGCTGCTGCTGCTGCTGCTCCTCTGTTCTCCAGCGCTTTGCCGGAACTGCAGTGAGCAGGCGGCAATGACAATGTCAATGTCAATGGCACAAATAATAACCCGAAACAATGTCGAACAATTTCACATACACACACATGGAATTTATCACTGGAATTATGTGTACCGTTTTGGGTGTTGCGTATACGCAGACCACTTGATGAATATTCGCAGTTTGTTAATTGTTTATGGGTTATTGCATCGCGTGTCCATATTCAATGGAATGGAATGGCTTTTTTATGCGTTTTCAAGTCGCGATTTCGTACGTCAGTTTGTAAGCGATTGAGAACGCCCACCAGCGGTGCGAGTCGCACGAGCACAGAAAGCGAACTGAATGCCGCATCCGTCGGCAGTGGCAGTGGCAGTGGCAGCGCGCCCACGAGCCCTCCACTGCAGATCAGCCAGGCACGAAGCCGCGGCACGAACCACTCGAGGCGGCACACTCTCATGCCCACTTCTGGTCCTTCCGGTGGGGCGACGCAACATGTTGCCATCGCTTTGCGCAGGCACCGCCTGTCAACTGTTCGTTTTTGGCGGGAAACACGGCGCAACATGTTGCACGCAGCCACAGCCGAACAATGAGGAAGGGCATTAGCTTTGGCCAGTACTCAGCTCTGGCCTAACCGCAGAAAATTAACACAACGTAACGCAATAAAACGTGCAACAAGGTCGACTCTTCGCTTAAAGGTCAATTATAATTTTTAAACGGCAGCACGAGTGTGCGTAAAACTTATTGAATCTGTGGAACGAGCTCAGATTTGTTTAGGATTAAAAGATAGTAGGGGAAGAACAGGAGATTAAAGTATTTGAAACTTAGAACGGGAGAATCAAAGCCGATCAGAAAATGAGATGCAAAGGAAAGGATTGTGTTCAAGCATCAACCAAGAGCTGGTTGACTGGTTTCTTCCAGATTAAATACACGAATTTTACATAGAGTTTACATAGAGGAATATCCAGGGAATATCCTTGAAACTTCCTTGAATCTAATCAGGCAAAGATTTATGTGAACATTCCCATGCGGAACTCTGTTAAGTTTCCCAGAAGATAATTCCTAAGAAATGATCGAGAAACTCTTCCACTTCTGATTAAATCCCTTTGATATCTTTATCCTCCATTTAGGTAATCTTGAAGCACCCTTTGAAAGCCCCTTCTCCCACCCCAATCGTACTCCAACTTGCTGTTTCTTCTATAAATTCGATATTTATTATCTACACAAAATGTAACAAATTTAACAAATTTTACAAACGAGCAAAACAACGTGAGATGCATGTGTGTGTGCGTGTGTGTGTGTGTGAGTGTGAGTGTGTGCATGGGGGCATGGGGACATTAGACTATGACAAACGAGAAATTGGCTAAGACATCTCCATTTTCATCGGACTGCGATCCTACTTCAACTTCTTGAGGAAGAAGCGGTTGGGGGGACCATAGTTGGAGGCGGGAATGTGAGCCTGACGCTGCTCCTGCTGCTGCTCCTCGACAATGATGGGCGCCATGGAGGGCTCCTCGATGGCCAGGGCAGCGGGTGCAGTGGCAGGGGGCAGGTACTGGTTGGCAGGAGCCGAGAGCGTGGTCTGCACCTCCTCGCCAGTGTAGGCGGGCGCCGTGGGTGCGCCATAGATGGCGGAGGGCTGCTCGATCTCGGGCTCGGGTGCCAGGGTGGTGGGTGGCAGAACATCGGCCACTTCGGCGAGCGGGGCAAAGTCCTCGGCGGTGGCCTGACGGGGCTCCATGTCGGCGGGTGGGACACCATAGACGGGCGCCTCCTCCTTCTTGGTCTTGTACTTGATGAAGTAGACCTCGGGTTTGGATGGCTTGGTGGGTGCTGGCGTCGGGATGACAATATCCTGCTCCTGCTCGGGCTTCTTGTGCAGCACATAGATCAGAGTCTTCTCCTCGTTCTGTGGTGGTGGTGGCACGATGGGTGCGCGCAGTGCCGGTGCCGATGGGGCCTTGATGAAGACGATCTTGTAGTGCTTCTGCTTGGGTCCCACCTGATGGGTGACGCGTGGCTGCACGGCATCCTCCTCCTCGAAGTCCTTGGGCGGCACATGGACGTAGATGTGCTTGTGGATCTTGGTCTCCTGCGGTGCGTTGTTGTAGCCGCTGGCATGCTGCACACCGGACAGGCGGTGGGCCATGTTGTAGCTGTCATCGTAGGAGTTCAGGGGCTCAGCGGAGGGACCAACCTGCTCAAAGATGGCATCCTGCTGTGACTGCTGTTGCTGCTGGGGTGGCAGGTAATTCATTTGTGGCTGCTGCACTGGAGGCGCTGCAAAGTTGGCAAACGATTGCTCCTGTGGCAGCGTCTGATAGATTTGTGGCGCAACGGGATGAACTGGGAAAGAGCGGAAGAGTGAAATGTTACTGGATCTTCCCCCGCTGCTGCTGCTGCCACCACTCACCATTCAATGGCAAGGCCCGCTGGCTCTGCTGCTGTGGTAATCCATGGTAGGCATACGGGGATGGTGGCTCAGGACGAGCGGCAGCTCCGGCGACCAGTGTGGCCACACAGACGACAAACAGCGAAGAGACACGCATGGCTAACGATTGGCTCCTGTGGATGATGATGATGATGTCTAACCCGTAATCCTTTACTGCTCGCTCGATTGACTGACTGCTTCGATGGAGAAGCTCGAACGTTGACTGATGCTGATTGGAGCACCGCATTGGCCATTTATATGTTTCGAGCGACGAAGCGAAGAATCGAAGATTCGGACACGCTGCTGAGTGCGCCTCGGCGCCTCCAACCAATCTCAAAATCTCATTACAAAAGGTAAACGCAAAAAATGAATTTAATTAAGCATCAAAAGAGATACACAAACACACAGCGTGCGAGACCGAACGAGAGCGAAAGAGCGGACGCAAGAGAGAGTGCGAGAGAGCGCGATTTCCATGGAGATGAACTTGGACCAAGGCGGAGAGAGGACAGACGGTGGCAGCAGAGGACAGAGAGAGGCAGCAGAGCGGCTGGACACGTGTCTTTTGATGTCTTAAAGCGAGAAATTAGAGCAGTCCAAAATGGAGACAAAAACGCCAAGCTGTAAATCCATTTCGTTTACCGTTAAGCCAGCCACTGACTGACCCACAGCCGCAGCGGGTGGAAGCGAGAGAGAGAGAGAGAGAGAGAGATGTAGCGGGATGCGCCCAAAGCTTCCTCATCGGTCTGCGCCCCAGGCCGTAGACGCTTTTGTGTAACACTCTCGCACACACATTTTGTACGTTTTGTGTGTTTGTTTACTTGTATCTTGTGTCTCGGAGATGGGATGCAGCGGCAGCAGCAACCTTCGGCTGAGTGCGCCAAGTGTTATTTTCACAATTGGAGCGCACTCGAGCCGCTGTCTCGGAAATCGAAAGTGACCCACGATTACGCACTCGCCACAGGCCACAGGCCACAGGCCCACTCTGCACCCATTGATGGTGCAAAAGTTCATTCATCATGTGGCAGCAAGTCGAACGCGTTCAGGGAGTTTTGTGGTGGGTCAGGTAAAGTGATTCCATGGAATTTTGGCCCACAGATAAGCCCGTGGGGTTTAGATAATATAAACGGAAGTAGAAACACGGTGTGAAAATAGAGTCCCTTTATATGCATAGCAAAAGCCAAGATGTTTCCTTCAAAAGGTTTCCTTAAAGCAAAAACTAAGGCAGCAGGAATTTCAGGAATTTTTAAGTGAGAAAAAGGGCTACAAATTCGACACTAAATCCATAAAAATATCCGCAACGGAAACCTCAATCAAACCAACTGTCCATTCATTGCCCCATTCTTACCTACCGAATTTCCCAATTAAATCAAAACAATACTTCAACATAAATTCAATTAATTGAACATGAATAGAAAGAAAACAAAAACCCAAAGGGCCATTTCAAGGCCACTCACATAATTTCCTCGCAACTGTCAACGAGGGACAGTCGTTCAGCCAACAACTCGTACTCGTACGGCAGACACTTTCAACACCTACGACAACAATTACGAAACGAGCGTAACAAAATGAAAATCAATTTTATAATTGAAGCCAAATGAAAGAGAAAAAAAGAAGCAATAAAATGATAAAACAAAACAGCAGCAGCAGCAGCAGCAGCAGCAGCCACCCAAATCACATGGGTAGCATGAGGTGCACGTTGGAAGATGGCAGATGGAAAGCAAATCCAAACGAATCCGAATCCGAATCGGAATCCAAAAGGCACTTGTCCACTCTGCTGTCCACACACGAACAAATCATAAATCGTAAGAGTAATTGCATCGAGAAATGGTAAGTACATTGTTGGTACCACACACACTGGACAAGATGCTGGGGCGTACATAATGGCAGCAAGGTTGCTTTACGTCATCAGCGAACAGACAGTGAATCAATGGAATTGATTGGAAATTGGTGCACTTGGCACCGCACTGAAGAAGCCGCAACTGTCCCTCTCCAGGGAGAGAGAGAGAGAGAGAGTAGGGAGAGCAGAGGGAAACCCGAAAATCAGGTCACCTGTGCAGTAGCCACAGCATCGCATCGCATCGCATCCCATCCATTCATTTGCACCGATCGCCTTGCCTTACCCTTCGCCTCTTGGCATTGGTCTCCACGTCTCGTGCCCTTCGACGGTGCTCCATTGACATTGCCGCCAAGTCTGTGGTATTTCCAATCGATGGAGCACAGCTAGCTGGGGATGCTGCACACTCGAGGTGCCACTTGTTGCATGTCAAGTGCCACGACGCACAGCAAACGGCAACAAAAACGCAGAAGCTTTGGCTCTTTGTCATTGAGATGTGAACCCGCAAGTCGATTAGTTGGCCAATGGCATACAAGAGAAGAGCATTCCACAGAATGCGTAGGTCAAATGGTTGATAAAAGTAGAAGTAATCGACAAGCCTCTCTCAATTGCTGCTCCAAAGAAGGCTAAAAAACTCAGCTCAAAGTTGAGACTGATACAGCTTCCTGCTGCCACAATTAAACCTTTAATCTATCAATTAACCATCCCTGCAATGCCTTGTGGCAATAATCATTTCATTTCATTTCACTTCAGGCCCAACAAAAAATGTTATTTTTACTTTTACCTCGGAAAGGAAGAGGCAAAGCGTAAAGATGCAAATCATGGCAGCAACAAAAAGAAGTTAAATTTATCCGCAAAATGTGTGTTATACATTTACTTAAATGCTTCAACCTACATTGACAAACAAATTATGACAAATGGCAAATGAATGTCGTCGTAGCCTCCGCCTCCTCACAGACCGGACTGCCGGACTGGCTGCCACTCTTGGCCAGATGCGTTGACAAATCGATAGGCTAAATGGTTTGCCCCCCAGCTGCATACTGTAATGATGATGATTACAGCAGTGATAATGGCGATCGGCGATTATCTCGTTAATTAGAGGTAAACATCGGGTAACTTGAGCAGTTTTCACACCAGCACATAGCCGCCAGGGGTGTCCCACCCATCAAGGTCATTCGATTTTAGCACAATTATCGAGCTTCCCTCATCACTCATCACAGTACACAGCACCCAGTGCCCCAGTCTTGGCTTTTATGTAACTCCCAACATCATCATCGTGGGCCAGTAAGGGGAAGTAATTAAAATTGGAGCAAGTTTGAGCACTTTTTGGGGTTGGGTGGCACGAGGTCTCTATGGCAATGTTAATGAGGCTAATGCTAATGCGGCGGTCAAAGCAAATTGGTTTTGGGCATGGGTTTCCCAAATTATTCGATTCCTTTATGCGACGAGCACAGAATTAAGTGCTGCGGATTAGTCATCAAAGTGGCAGGTAAAAATACAATTTAATTACAACTCATACTGGGAGAAAGGAGTTTCACATTTCTCACTCCCGAACAGCAGCCCATACCCTTGAACATCCAAGATTGCTCTATTGAAGATCGCTCGCTATGGAATAATGGTCTGCTCAATGTTGACATTGAATTAAAATGCCTATTGAAACGAGCAGCAATCAAAGGCCTATATATAGCGGCATAGCCTCTGCACACATGCGAGTACCGAGCGTCGAGTATTACCAAGCAAAAGTCGAGTGCAGGCCGAGGGAAATAGTAAGATGGTTAGCGGACAAAAGATCGAAACGCTTCGAGAGTGTCACTGAGTGTGAGTGGCCCCCTGGGAAGGGTTAAGGGAGCAATAGCTGTCAGCCCCGTCAAAGGTCGGCCTGGCAAATCGATTACTCTTACCGATGCGTGGACGTATCTATCTGTCTGCGTCTCTGTCTGCATCTGCGTGGTTGGGTTTCATTGAATTAAGTGCCTGGCTAAATGCCTGTGAGCCGTAATTTGTATCTCGCAGCTTGTTTATTTATGCTGTCATCTGCTGTTGTTTGGCACTAGTTTGTCCAGCTTCCCCGATCCCCTCTGCACTACCAATTTGTTGGCCATTTGCAGCCGAAAATTGCTTGTCAGGCCGCGCTGTGGTCTTTTCGCTTTTGCCTCTTGTGCTTGTGGGCCGTCATTTCTGTTTGCCAGCCTAACTGGCAATTAAAAATAAATTTGGCCGCACTTTGCCATTGTGGAGCACTTATCGAACGGGCCCTTCCCCCCCCGCTCACGCACCAACACTTGACCAACTCCACTCCAAGTGGTTAAAGCGCAGTCGAAGGATTTGTTCATATAAAAACGAAACATTTTGGTATGCCTGACAGCATTTTATGCCGGACATCGAGCAGCGATGTGGCCGCCGGGTGCACTTACTCGCCTGGCGCCCTCTACATGTCAGCTTTGCCTGCCCGCTTATCAGTACTTGGGCTTCTCCGCAGCCTGCTGCTCCCCTTTCGCAACCAGCTGCTCCCCTTTCTCCACCGTCAGCAAGCTCGAGCAGCGAAAGAGGCGGCAAAAGCAACAACCAAACAGCTGCGCAGAAGCCAAACAAAATAAAACAAATACAAAAAGACTGCGGGGAGTATGTAGGTAGAATTGATAAGTTCCAGTGATGGAATTGAGGAATACCCCTTGTGATGATCGTTGAGGGAAATTTACGTAGTTTGAACCTCAACTTAAGAGTCAGTCAAATTAGAGCTTAAATTAGAGCATTCTATATTCAAGTTACTAAAGAGACTCCGAACCCATACTCCCTTCGCTCGCGGCATCGTACAGGGTATGCGAGAAAACAAAAAGTAAAAGTTAAAACGCAAAAACAAATGCCATTCGTCTCTGCGCTCGTGTCAACTGCAGCAAATGAGCAAACGGGGCTCGTTCGCCACATTCGAGCGGCAGACGATCGCCGAAGAGGTATCCGAAAGCTCTACGACTCGCACTCCCAACCCCCACAGCAGAAGTAGAAGATCTCTCGCAGCAGATAGGGGAATCTAATGGCAATGCAAACGTTGGAAGACAACGACAGTCAGGTAGGGTAATTATTTTTGTTTATCTATGAGAGATTACAAATCGTACGACACACAATCTGGCGCACGTTTAGCTCATTTTGGTGCAGCAGAATCTGCGATCACTGCCCCTGGAGCTGGTCAAGCGGCATGCGGAGCACGTGGAGCTGCTAGATCTGAGCCACAACTGCCTGAAGGATCTGTCCTGGCTGGCGGAGTTCGAGCAGCTGCGTCACTTGGTGCTGGACAACAATCGGCTGCACGAGGCACAACTGCGGACACTGACCCAGTCCCTGCCGCAGCTGGAGGTGCTCATGTTGAACAAGAATGAGGTACGATTCTTTGCTTCTTCCCATCATGTCTTACACGTTTTGTTCCTTTGCAGTTCAGTGACCTGCCCTCAACAATGCGACTGATCCGCCGACTGTTCCCCAACCTGCAGTACCTGAGCCTCCACGGTAATCCCATTTGCCCAGATGGCCTTGAGCTTCAGCCCTTCTCCGGCTACCTGCGCTATGACTACGCGTACTACAGGTAGGATTGACCCCTCTTCTATTTGAATATCACTTTCGGTTCAACGCCTTCTCGTTCCATCCACGCAGCAATTACATTGCACAGTCGCTGAGCAAACTGAAATTTCTGGATCATGGTCTGGTGCAACGCACCTATCAGTACGAGAGTTTTCCCATCAACAGCTGCGGCAAACAGCTGATAAAAACAACAAGCTTTTGACAAGACAAGGATTTATTTTGATGGAATTTGCTATATGGATTTTTGGTATACTAAAAAGCAAATCGAGATAAGTTATATTGGGAGTTTGTGCATTTGTACCTACAGAAATGATTGCTATTTATATTAAATAAACCAATTAATATGTTGATAAGCTAAATTTGCAATATAATCAATGAGATAACTGAAAGCTAGAAATTATGCACCCTGTATAAGACCCAAGCGTATAAGACTAAAGCCAAGACATGCACTGCTTTTCGATTTAGTCAAGACAACAACCAGTCGAAAGCTTACATTCCAGTCGGCGAAACTAGGCAAAAAGGAAATTAGACGATAAAGCGCAAGCTACGAAGGAGAGAACGCAAAAACTTTGAGAGATTAAGCTGCAAGTGTTTTAGAATGCGCTACGATGAATATAACCACCGATAATATGGTGGATACATTGACATATAATAAAGTAATTCCGAAACAAAATGATTTTCAGTGTGCAAACAGATGAAAGTTCTCGAATTTAATAACCTGCATAAGTCATCCATGAATCTCTTACAAACTGCTTTATCAAACCCAAATGCCCTACGCATTTCATTTCATTGCAGTGTGCCAATAAATAATACGAGGCACGAGTATGTGTCCGCCGGCCGGCATACAGCAAAAATAGAGATAAATGACAATCCGAAAACAGAACCGCTGATAGCAGCGATGGCAGGCAGACTCGCAAACGTATCAAGCAGCCTATAAAAGCAGCATCTGGCAGTAATTCGAAGCATTGGCGTCAGCAGCAGCTCCCCAGACGACAGGCAGCTCCACTTCACTCCAGAATCCCGCCAGCAGTTCATCTTGATACATCCAGCAGTATGGCCGATCCCAACGCCAAGCCCAAGTACACAAAAGTGAGTACATAAAGAATAGAATATACTTTGTGGCCAATTGCATTTCGTATGCAATAAGTGTTTTCCAATTGATTAAACAGCACCTGGCACACCTCAAAGCAAACTTCAAACAAGAAGTAGTACGAGAAAATAACCCATACGCACTCTATCGTGTTTCCAATAGAAAAATTCAACTTGTTTCGAACTCGTTTGTGTCGCAATTTTCATATATTCGCATGTTTTTCTGTGCGAGACTGCGATACACACTCAAACCCACACAGAACATACAGGGTGTTCTGTTCTGTTCGTTATCTGGTGCTGTTTGACACTCAATAAAAAAAATCTGCCATGCAATGATGTGGTTGGTCTTCTGGGGCAAACAATACTGATAACATTACGGAAAGTCTAGGGGGGTCCAATGCTGTTATTCGAAGACACTGATATGGCGGAGACTTTGACACCAAATGTACCTAATGGGATTACGAGTAAATGTCTGTAAGGTGGTGTGAGCAGAGATCTTTTGTAGAGCACAAAGTGGATAAGGACTTTAATTCAATTGAATTAATTTCATGTGATTCAAACCATTGACCCCGAAGTTCTATATGAAGTCACTCTGTGATTCTGTCCCAGAACGTTAAAAATGACTACCAAATACCCCAAAACGAGAGATTACTTTGTTGTGTCAACAGTTTTGTTTGTCCATAAAGTTGACAGAGTGGAATCGTGATGGTACTGAAGTATTACATTGAAAACAATGTCGCGTGCCGCTGGGAAAATTGAAATGGGGCAATGAGTGTGCTGACAACTTGTTGGGGCACACAACAGATTATAATCACAGATAGCGATGCACAAATTGCCACAATACCTGCCCAGACTAGGGTGGAGTATGGGAAGATTTAAGCACAGCCTCGAGAATTGTCAGCCGTTCCACTGTGAGGTTGAGCAAAACTATATATAAATCCTTGATTCTACTTTGATGACTGCTCATTCATGGCCCACTTTTATACCCTTTCCCATTGCAGCTCTTCATCAACAATGAGTTTGTGGATGCCGTCTCTGGCAAGACCTTTGCCACATCCAATCCAGCCACTGGCAAGGAAATTGCCAAAGTGGCCGAAGGAGACAAAGTGAGTCAATGTTTCTCCGTTCCATTTGACACCCAAACTTATGTGAATTTTCTCTGCTCAAGGCTGATGTGGATCTGGCAGTGATTGCGGCCAAGAAGGCTTTCCATCGCAACTCGGACTGGCGCAAGTTGAGTCCCCTGCAGCGCACAAATCTGATTAACAAGTAAATGAAATCAGACCCAGAATGAATGTCCTTTAACCATTACTATCCCCGTACAGGCTCTGCTCACTGATGGAGCGCGACAAGGAGTTCCTTGCCAGCCTGGAAACCCAGGACAATGGCAAGTCCTATGCCTCGGCCCTCTCCGATGTCAAAATCTCGACCCTGACGCTTCAGTACTATGCCGGCTGGACCGACAAGTTCTTTGGCGACACCATTCCCGCCGGTGGTTTAACCTCGATGACCCGCAAGGAGCCCGTGGGCGTTGTTGGCCAAATCATTCCCTGGAACTATCCGCTGCTGATGCTGGCCTGGAAGTGGGGACCCGCTCTGGCCGTGGGCTGCACCATCATCATGAAGCCGGCGGAGCAAACGCCACTCACCGCCCTGCACATGGCTGCCCTGGCCAAGGAGGCGGGCTTCCCAGCGGGCGTCATCAATATCATCAATGGCTTTGGACCCACAGCTGGCGCAGCCATCAGTGAGCATCCGGACATTGCCAAGGTGGCATTCACAGGCTCCGTGGACATTGGTCGCATTGTGATGCAGGCAGCAGCCACGTCCAACCTGAAGCGGGTGTCCCTGGAGCTGGGCGGCAAGAGTCCAGTCGTGGTCTTCGACGATGCAGACAGTAAGTGGCGACTGACTTAACCATCCTCTGCTGACCTTAACTCTTATATTTGCTGATCTTAGTTGACTATGCTGTGGAGACCACACACGAGGCTCTGTTCGGCAATCACGGTCAGAGCTGTTGTGCCGGCAGTCGCACCTATGTTCACGAGAAGATCTACGACAAGTTCGTGGAGAAGGCCGCTGCCAAGGCCAAGGCACGCAAGGTGGGCAATCCCTTTGAGCAGGATGTGCAGCAGGGTCCACAAATCGATCAGGAGATGCTCACCAAAGTCCTGGGCTACATTGAGAGTGGCCAGAAGGAGGGCGCCAAGCTGCAGGCTGGCGGCAAGCGCATCGGCAATGTGGGATACTTCGTCGAGCCCACTGTCTTCTCGGATGTGCAGGATAACATGAAGATTGCCCAAGAGGAGGTGCTTACACAGAGAAACTCTTTGATTAACGATTCTCTAATGGGTTTACATTTCTGCCCTTAGATCTTTGGCCCTGTTCAATCCATCTTCAAGTTCAGCAGCCTCGAAGAGATCATCGATCGGGCCAACAATGTGCAGTACGGCCTGGCCGCTGCCATCATTACCAATGACATCAACAAGGCCATGAAGTTTGCCAACAATGTGGATGCTGGCTCCGTGTGGATCAACTGCTACGATGCTTTGCTCCCACAGACGCCCTTCGGTGGCTACAAGCTCTCTGGCATTGGTCGCGAACTGGGCAAGGATGGACTGGACAATTATCTGGAGACCAAGACCATTACCATGAAGCTGCTCTAGGGAGTGGATTGATGTTTCGTTTATGTATACTTGTATTTTGTTTGCATAAATAATTAGACATATTATTGCATTTGAAATAAAACAAAAAACACTTGGATTAGAGCTTCGTTTTAAAGGTTTTCTAGTCGAACGACCGACTAGCGAATGTCGCTTAACTCTTGCTGATTTATGGAGTTGAATTTATATAATTATTAGAAGTATAATAAAGGTCTTTAAAATGGCAATTTAATGCCTAAAAGTATGTGAAATATTCGCAATATCAAAAGCCATCAAACCCAATTTCTCATCAGTTAAGCGACATTTTTCTACACTACAAATTGATTCTGACTTCGAGGCACGAGTTCGCTTAGCTATAAGACATTGAAAATATCAGAAAACTATTCACTAAAGCCTCCAACTAGAGGAGAATGCTAAAACTTAGACTAAATTCTGATTAGAAGAATTATTTTCTTGATATAAAAATAACTATAAACCTGAGATTGCCAATTCTTTTCCCACTCTTTAGGCCAAACTGGTGGCACGAACCGAGACTTGTGGCTGTCCATCCAGCAGCGGCAGCGCCACATCGCTCAAGTGCGATCTGGCACTCTGATAGTCCTCCTCGGATCTGGGCCTCAGCTGTGCCTGTTGCTGACGCTGTGGACTGCTCTGCTGCACTAACTCCCTGTAGACGGGCTGAATGGGAGTCTGAAAATCGGTGCTTGGTCGCTGCTCGAACATCTCATCGATGTCCACCAGCTGAAAGTCCACGGCAAAGATGAACCGCAGCACCATCACCAGCAGGGCCATGAGCCACAGCACCATGCCAATCACATAGCTGCAACGGAAGAGCTGCAGATAAGTGTCATGGGAGACATTGTGCTCGTGCACAATGGGCCGCAGCAGGGCGATGGCATCCCCGCAGCTGATGGCAATGGGATCGGTGAGATTCTCGCGCAGTTGTCCGCACAGCTGCTTCAGGTGTCCGTTGGTGAGGATGGTGTAGAGAACGCTTCCCAGGCTCATTACGGAGAATATGATGATGGAGGGCACCACAATGCGCCAGGGTTTGGGCAGGACACTGACAAGAATTAAGATTGAGTTTGAATTGAGGGCAAAAATGACAGAAAAGAGAAACTTACGAATTCTTTTTGCTGCCCGTCTGAAAGATCAGGCACATGGCTGTCCAGATGATGGCCACAATCTCTGATATGAGAGGAAATGCATAGACAAATTGTGCGCCAATGCCGGCATTCCAAAATGTGGCATGTGCATCGAGGGCCACTGGGGGGAGAGAATGCTTATAAAAGAACGTAAAGGGTGGGATGATCGAGAGCTTACTGCTGGCCAAGAACTGCCGATCTGCCTCCGCATTGAAGACAATCTTTGGCGTTGGCGCCTGCGTTGTGGTCTGGGCCTGCTCTTCCTTATTGTCAGCTATGAGACGCTCCAATCTGGGGCGGTTCTCTCTCGACTCGTAGATATGTGGTATCTTGAAGGTTGGCTTTGTGCTTTCTGCAAAGGAAAATGCGCATTTAGAATGGAATTATATTGGATTCCCCTGAAATCTCTTACGGCTCTCGCTCTGCAGCGATTCGGGTGCGACATCCTGGACGGAATATTTAGCTCCGTAGGCCTGTTGGGTGGCTTTGATGTAATCCCGATGTAGAATCTCCTTGCTGCGATTATCCATTTGATCAAAGTTGCGCTCACGAAAGATGAGTTTGGCACTGACAATTCCCTCGTACAGATCCCCCGATATCATGTGCAACGAAATGCTCCATATAATGGAGAATATTGCAACGAGTATCATGAGGCATATCACGGTGTCTGTAGGGGAAGGAAAAATATGAAAATTAGTTCATTAAAAGAGGAGGCTTACATGTAACTTTATTAGTATTGATGAGTGCAAAGATTTCCTTTCTTAAGAGCTGTGACAAGCCTTCCTTTCCAGTCTTTCCCCTTCATTCAACTTGCTTTCCCCCTTTCAATTCTGTCTCTAAGCATTTCATGCACATTGCCACAACAAAAGAGCCGCTGACAAATTTGAATTGGAAATGAACGACAGCTCAAGCAGAGGTCTATATTTGGAAAATTTCAAGGAGCCGTTTGATCGCGTAGATCATTAATAATAGATAATTCATAGAACGAATGAAATATTGTGCGAGTTACACACATACGCGACGCGTGGAAGGTTAGAGATGAAATATTATGTTTTTGTGGGACAAGTTTTTCGGCTGGAGCGGCGGCCAGGTGGGTTAAATAATTGATTTGGTGCTTTGTTGTTTTGTTTTTGTTTTGCTTGTAAGATTCAGTTAACTGTGAACTTAGACTGAGTTTCTCTGTGTGTGCGTGAGGTTATATCTGCGGCTATGATATCATTCCGAATGAACAAACTCAAGATGACGTCGATATCGTGACTGCTGGCCAATAAAATTCATTTCAATTGATGCAAAATATATTCCCCACCCAAATGCTTTCATTTCACATGATTCTGGATACTCGCACAAGTTAAACAAAAGAAGAAAATATGTACAAAGTATATATACAGAATACTGCAGAGTCAACAAACAGATTCGCGGGAGAATATACGATGCCAAGACATGCGGAAAAACATGCAGTGGGTCTCATGTTATATTACCAATTACGTTTTTACAGACAGATGAGCTTTACAATTGCCCATACACCACTCGTATACCATAGCTATACAGATCACGAAATGGTACCACAATTTTCATGCCCCAAGTGCTTCGAACGCATTAAGCGGAATGGTTTGTGTTCTGCTATTTTGGATTCGGATGGGCACAGACACCAACACACCACACAAACAGAAACCATTTACTGTACGTTGCACGATCCCCCAGAGAGTGGGACAGTCTCTCTCTCTGTCTCTCTGTGGCATGACATCATGTCGCCCCTCATCTCTGCGGCTCTGGGTCTGGTGCTGGGCCCTGGGTGCGGGCAAGCGCGAAGTTTTGTGAGTCGTTAGCGGTAGGCTAACCGCTTTTGGCCAGTTTTTGGTAGCGAAGAGTAGGAGCTTTGTAAAGCCAACTATAAATAAAGATTACTAAATTGTTTGCCCGATAGAAACGATGATACGATCGAGAAATTGTACGGAAGTTTCCATTCCCTAAAGCTGTTAAGAATTTCTCCTACTTACAGTGTTTGTTTGCTGCTCTAATTGGTCCCGGAAGTTTTGCACTTAAGCCAATATGTTAGCGCCATTAACAGTAACCACATGGCGCCCACTCAAACAAACATTTTGCCACCACTTAGCAGCGGGCCAAGAGATGCAACAACTTGAATGTTTATTAACAATTCGGGGCAGGAGGTCTGGAGGTTCCAACGTCAGAGCAAAAGAGGAAGCAATGTGCGAAATTGTTAATATTAGCACATTTCCCTAAAGGCTTTAGGGCAGCATTTAGCACCTTTTGATTGTTTCGATTGAGGGTATAAAAGAAGACACAATAACAGCCGAGGCTGTCGCTGGGATGTTAAATCGGAACAAATCTTAGCAGCTGCTTGTAAGAAAACTAACAAAAAACAGCGAAAGAGAAGCAGATTTATATGGAGATTTCATGACCTTCCCATTGACTTTGCCCCACTGTTCCCCTGTCGCAGCATCTGCGAATTTTCCAAACATTTTGCCAGCTACTCGTACAATTTACTCGGACTATTTATTGATGCTGAAAGACGCGCCCCTTGCAGAGCAGCCACCGTGACTGATGGACACAGCAAACCCAAACCTGAGTCTTACAATAATTGATTCGAACATTGTCTGTCAATGCCAGGGCGAATCGCCGCCATCCGCTGTTTCAGATTTGACATTCAAAATGTTGTTTTGGAATATAATTTTGAGTTTTATTTTAGCTTGGGTTTCACCTTCTTATTGTGGCAGTGAAGGCCGCACTATAAATATGCCAGACCAGAACTAAGGGCGACTAAGGGCCAACTGAATGTTGTTCAAAATTATACATAGAATTTGTATGGAAATGAATATCTAAGCGAATAAGTGAATGAATCAACGTACGGTTCAAATTGCGTATATCGCCAGTTGCGAGCTTTCCCTGTTTGTACTTTTTTATCAGCTCCATTATAGCATGTTTTTTATGTGATTTATTATGTAGGAATTGGGGATTATTTCGCTCTCTCCCTCTGGCTGTGTGGTTGGTGCTTCCGTAGGATGCCAGAGTTTATCAAATGTTGCTTGAATTATATTTTATTTATAACGTTATTCACATGGTTAGCACATCTTTTGTGTGCAGATTTGTTCAGGCTTTTGTCCAGCTAATAGTGGAAAATAGTTTTTACCTCACAGTTGCCCGTTTTATGGTAATTTTTTATGGTCCAAATGGGCAATATTTATGGAGCCAACTGGCAGAAAACATTGAAAATAAGCGCACAGAAATTAATTAGGAACACAATAAACAATTTTACAGACAGGCGAGTAAATTTTCGAACGTAAACCAAATTCAATCAAGCAGCAGAGAACATTTTCTATTTTTTTCTCTAATTTTTTCGTTTTTTTCTGTTCTGTTCCGTTGAGCGATTGGAATAATTGAAATTAATTGATTTGGAATTAATGTGGGAGAAGACAAATGGTGTTTGTGTTTGCCTGTTGTTGGATTTGGAACACCTTTGGCTATCAATTTACATTTGGCACACCAACAGAGGTTCAAGTCTTCAATTTTCAATTTCTATTTGCATGCCACAGTACGTATGCGTAGCAAAACCGAATTTAACATTTTTTTTGAGCTCGTTCTCGAATGTCTACCCTAATTAGCCCCAGGGGCTCATGGCATGTCCGTGTTTTTTTGGGACATTGGGGGGATTTCGGCTGGGAAAAGCGTAATTCGTTTTGAAATTCCGCCCATAGCACACAAACACTCACAGTTCAAGGTCATTCCGTGGACATTCTTTTTTGTTTATTTATTATTACATTGATATTGATATCTCATTGATTTGCATAAATCGTTTCAAGCAAAAGACACCGTTAATTGCCGATGTCCCCAACCCGTGAAGCGGAGAACGCCGTCGAAAGAATGAAATTTTGAAGCGAACTCCGTTAGCGACCGCCCGACTGTGCCGTTCGTGAATGTTTCAGCCACTGAGGCGGCGACAAAGCCAGCAACGACACAACGACGAGCGATGGAGCGTTCTCCAGCTGACTGTATATATGTTTGTATATACATATGTTTGATTGTGTATATGGCCTGCCAAAAAGGTGTATTAAGGTGGTGGTGGAGCATAGGTAGAGCTTAGAGCATCTTATGTGGCTACACTTCTAGATGAGAGCCTTGTATTACGTTATTTAAGCAATTATTTAACAATTTGGGATCAATCCAATCCCAAATATTCATTCCCATTCTATCAGAACAGAAATCGAAACGAAATAATAAACTGTAAGTCATTTTTTGGGATGTTGGAGAACATATCCTAAGCCGATGGCACACAATATGCCCAATTGGTAAATATCCACCGTTATCAAGAAAGAGATAGAGAGGGGCAATGAGAGAGGCCACCCAGTATTAATACACCTTGGGCATCCTACAACAAAATGCCTCTCTCTCTCTTTAACGCTGTCTCTCTCTCCGTTTCTTTGGCACTCTCTCGTGGGAAAAGAGAGCGTCTTCGGTTTTGTTTTGATTTCTCTATTTTGCAACTAGTTGCTCCCCCATCTTACCCGCCGCCCGCTTACACAAACTTATGTTATTTTTTGTAGGTCTCGCTTCTTTCTTGTTTCTGTTTTGGTTCGGTTTCTACGATGTTGCTATTTTCGCATTCGTTGCCTCTTTGGGTTGGTAGGTGGGGTGAAGTTTTTATGCGTGGGAAGAGGAGGAACGGTTTGGAACGGAACTGATTGTTTTGCTATTTCTATTGTTGTTTTCGTTTTTTGTTTCTTTGTACCTCTTGTTTTGTATTTAACAACATTTTTGTGTTGATGTTTTGTTAGATTATTCGTGGTTTGCGAGAAAAAAGTGGGAGTTACAGACGTTGTTTTGTATAATGCGTAGTCCGAGTTCAAATACAATAAATATACATAGTTTATACACATGTACATATGTATGTATGTACATTTAAAGCTCTGATAGACGGACTTGATTCCATGTACTTTTGCTTACTCTTGTTATTGCTTCAATCCACACTGTAACAACCATCAAGATATCCCCACTCCTGATCCATACATATTTCTTCGAACTGTTCTCTACTTGTACTGTACTTCTCTATAAATACTCTATCAACAGCCTATAGCTAATTATTTGTACTGTTCCTCTCTAAACAAGCTTATCACCGAGTTGAAAGACATGGAGGTTCCCATACTAATGGTCGTAGGCCACAACTTTATACATTTATTTTCGCATTCCCCTGCCACAAAACCACATTACAGATTAGCCCTACTTATACGTAAATAGCCAACATTATATCACTCATTTGTTGGTTTTATCCTTAAATAGAAACACGCATTAAACACTTAGTCAAACAGTAATCATCTCAGGTCCTGCTGCCCCACGTGTAATTCATTTTGTTTCGCTTTTTCGGCTGTTGCCATGGACGCAATTATCGACGATGACCTTGAAAAAACACGCCGCTTTTTTCATGTCCAAGGTGAGCTTAATTAGCGGCCACAAGGCCCAAGGACTTGCCGCCTGTGTGCTATGTAAAGTATCCCACAAATCGCGTGCCTGGCAGGCATCTAGTTGAAACTTCATCTGCTCTCCCCTCCAGGGACACATTGCGGTCACAGGGGCATTATTTTAAAGGCTTTTGCTCATTTTAAGTTGAATAATTTTCATTTGGGAACAATAAAGTAATGTCATTAAATATTTATGTTTGTTTAGTAAACAATTCAATGAACCTTTTCCGATGTTAGTTCCTACGAAAGAAGTTTCATTGATATATGTTTAATGTGGATGGACATGTGTCCTACATGTGTTATTAAAATAACAGAAAATCAAAAGACCCAAAGGGAAGTCCAAGCAGACGTAGCGGCGTGGTGGGTCTAGTTTTGACTCGAAACAATTTACATAGTACATGGCACCATAGAAACGATTTATATAGACAAAATTTGAATGAACAACTGCTCGTAAATTTGTAGTCGTGGTCATTTCTATCACACTTCAAGGACTTAAAACAGAAAATTCCATTTACCAACTTCCACTTAAAACTGCCAGATTGTATATGTAGATATTGCCCTACGTTCCCCTATTTAATCTAGATAACTTTTCACAGTCATTTGCAAATATTTGTTGTTAGCGATTTCCCAAATGGAGCAGACAACTCACAAGTAAACAGAATGACACACACACACACAGCACATCATAATAGGGCTTCCACCTATAAGTGGATACACATGCAAATTGAGGTTCCATGCTCCAATGTTGTAATCGGCGATGACGTCGCCTGTTTATGCAAATCCACAATGGAGGCCTACAGGCAGTGCGACATTTCATGAATTTATTACAGCGGCATAGACAGCAGATACCCGTAAACAAACAAAGTGGAGAATACACTGAGGGGGAATTATGATTGCTAATCGATCAGAGAAGTTGCTCCATTCCAAGGAGCGCAGGTTCACAGTTCATAAGGTGATGCAATCGACCGTGTCTCAAGGCGGCGTATGTGTGATTTTCCACTTACGTTCACAGCGCACCACCTCGCTACGAGCCTCACGCGTTAGCATCTCCAGGCTGTCGCCTATCCTGCGTATCCTCTGTGGCGTGCGCCCCATCTCGCTAGTGGTAAGAGATCTCTGGCAGATCTCTCTGGCACATCTAATGTCACATCTAGTTATAGTCTGGTTTACATGAGGCAAACAATTAGCAAAATGGCTATGCAAAAGCCTAAAACTTGGCTGCGCATTTCGATTCGCGACTTGAGTTTATCTTTGAAAACAAAACGACGAAACGACACTGAAGTGGCTGTAGTGGCAGTAGGAAAGACGTTCACACGACACGACCGCTCGACGAGAACTGTGCGGCAGCCAAGCAGCAGCGACAGACCATTAGGGGCATTTCTGTACCGGGGGAATAAATTCTAATTTGATGGCGTCACTAGCCGACGGTGGTTACAACAGAACGAGAGATCCCCAGCCAGGCAGCCAGCCAGTGTGTCTAGTCTGCAGTATGAGGGTGCATTGCCACCCCTAAAAAAAGGATACCAAGCCAATGACCCCGCCATGAGTGTCAGCAGGGCGATTGCGTGTCCTTTAATTACCACAAAAATGTTCCAAAAACATCTGGCCCAGAAGCACACCTGAGGGAAGGCCCAGCAGGGAGTGGACTCTAAAGCGTCTAAACTCTTTTCTTTTTTTGGTTTTCACTTTGTTATTTATTATACGAAAAAATACTCGCGTTTGTTTTCTCAAATAAATTAGTAAATATCATAAGTATATTGCAATTGTAAATGTGGGTTGTATATAATGCCATTTACTTGGATGTTAGTTACACATTTTTCACATACTTTACCATTTTCGATCGTTTCTGCGTTTCTCGTTTTTGCTCTTACAAAAATTCTCTTAATGTTAATTGTGTGTTAATTCGGCTACAGATTTCATAAAACATTTTTTGTGCAACAAAAAACACATTGCAATTCACTTTACAGTTGCCCGTAATTACATTTTTAGGTGTACAAAAAATTAACATATATTTTGTTATGTATGCATTGTAAATATATATAAATATATCAATTTGATCAATTCAATTCGTTGGAAACAAAGCGAAAGATGTACACAACGTAATCTCTACAATTTGTTAATAAATCATCCATGTAACAATTCCACGCACACACACACACACACACAAACACACAACTAAAAGGCCTTTTGGGTTTGAACAATGTTTTTTCGCAAAGAGTAAGAGGGAATATGCTTAAGACTAGGGGGGTGGTGGGGTGGGGGGGTATATATATCTATACATAGAGCTCAGTTATATAATACTAGTAGTTGATGTTTGCTTTTAAAACGGGCAGCAGAGCAAGTTACCATTACAAAGAGACTTATACTTAAACCTAAATATTGGATTTTCAAATTTCTTTTTTGATTATTCTTGCATTTTGTGCGAATTTCAAATTCTTTGAATTTGTTAAAATATTTAACATACAATAATGTTTATCAAATAAAAGGTATTGCATAACAGTTTAGCTGCTTAACAAAATGCAAATTAAACCAATAAACATTGCACTTAAGGCTAACATCAAATCAAATTAAATTAATTCTAAAAATCGTACCATCATGAACATAATTGAGTGCAGCGTTAAAATACATAATTTCAAATCATTTGAGTGGACGTAACGTGGTAGCGCAATCATCAATAAATACGTAAAAAAGATATATAGATAAATATCTCGTTGATGTGTGTAAAAAGTAAACTAAATAAAATTCACAATGTGATCTTGGAAATGGAGCGGGGAAGGGAGTGCAGCAAACAAATAAATAGTTAAATACATTGATTAGTTAGACTAAATGGAAAGCGATTAAAGAAATAAATTACAATAATTAACATAGGAGGAAACGTGTTTCGCAAAATACTTTTGTCGCAGAACTCTCTGGGAATCTGGACTGTGGCATCTCTGCATCGTGGGATTGTGCATCGCCTGGAACGAACTGTTGGGGCGGTTGGCTGGGGGGGAATGTTAGTATTGGGCATCGAAAGAATACGAGAAATATTATTTAAAGCGTCGTTGCGGCATTGTTGGACTCTCGGGCGGTGTATCCCCGCTGACGCTGCCACCTCCAATGACAATCTGTTGCAGCGAATGCTTCTTGGTGACACTCTTGAACGGTGCGCCCAGCTTGCGGGGACCGCGTGGCGAGGCAGATGTCATGCTGCTTGCTGCCGCCGCCTCCATGGCCGCCGTTGAACCCGCCGAGGCAGATGGCGCAATGCCCAGCATGGGCCCCGAATCAATGGATGCCTGTACCCAACCTGCAAGCAGATGAGTTAGGCATCAAATTATCGTTAGAATTATCTTTTCTTTGCTCACCCTTCACTGAAGCGCGATTATGATCGAGCAGCGCAGAGGCCAGTGGCGCCGCCGAGCTGCTGGCATTCGATTCCCTTAACATTCCCAGCGTGGACAGCGGCATTGGGTTGTAGATGCGACTGGCAAAG